TGATGAAGAATGTGTTATATATGGTTCTACATAGAACTTTTTTTGAAAAGGGTTCTGTAGAGCAGCAAAAAGGGGTTCTGCTATTGTTTTGGTGTTAACCTTGTAACAGTAGCCGAAACCTTTTTGGTGCTGTATAGCGTCATCTACAGGACATTCTCCATTAATCTGAAGAACCATTTCATGATGCAAAAAACCATTAAATCATGCAAAGGGTTCTTTGAGTGTTCATGGTTCTACATAGAACTATTTTCTTTACTAAAGAACCCTTGAAGAACCATCTTTTTTTAAAAACTGTACCAATTAGCCCCTACCCCTGTTTTGCATGTTCTCTTCTAGGTGTAGGGTGTCCTGATTCTTGTTGAGATAGAGGGGTGAAGTGTTAGAGCTACATGACCCTCCAAACAGAGGTTTTTCAGAGACTCCAAAGTTATGAGAAAAAAAGAAAAACCAGCAAGATGGAGAACAAGAGACCAAAGAAACCCACAAATGTGAGAATTTTCTCTGTTAAAAAATTATGATAACCATCTTATTATCTTAGTTTAATGTCATTTCAGTGTATTATGGTCCTTTTCTTCATAACAAGCATAAAAAGCCGTTAGTAGTGCTGATGTGTCAGTAGCTAACTTTCCTGTTCCACCTTAAATAGTCCAGCAGTTCTGACGCCTGAAGTGCCAGAATGTAAGTGCTGCTCCATTTAAGGTGGAACAGGAAGCTGGTGAATATCTGACTTCAGCTTCATATCACTGAAGAATTAGGGGTGGGTGATAATAAATAACTGCCCCCCTCTTTGAAGGCATATGATGCCCTAAATGTAACTAAAGCCCAGCAGTGAGGAGCTGAACTTTACCCTCCTCTGCTGTCACTGCAGACTGGCAGGGTCACCTACAGAGCAGCGCTGGTAGCTGTTAATGAAGTGATGCTCTTTTTATTTGAGGGTCCCATTTCAGAGGGAAGATTAACCACTATCCTGTAACTCAGTTCCAAGGGGTAAAGAGACACCCGAAAACAAGGGGTAGGGGTAAAAATAAGAATTGGGACTGGGCCAAAGTAGTCTTGTGTATTGTTTGAATTTCTTGATGTAATATTTTTGCCGTATCGCCCACCTCTACTTGCACCCGTTCTCCACTATCTCCACTGGCTTCCCGTAAAGTACTGTATCCACTAAACATTCTTCTGCTCACTTGCACAGCTTCGCTCCCTCCACCTATCTGATCTTCTCCTTCCTTAGAAACCCACTCTTACTCTCCGCTCATCTTCAGCTCATTTACTACCCATTCCTCAATCCAGCCTTCACAGTTTTGGCGATCAAGCACGCTCTAGATCTGCTCCTCGTCTCCGGAAGTCTGTCAGTCTAATTCTCTCTCCACGTTTAAAACAAATCTCAAAACCCCACGTCTTCTCTTTAGCTTATACCTTACTTCTGAGCTAATCCTCCCTCATTATAACCTGACCCTGTCTTCTTCTCTGCTGTCTGTTTGCGTTTTCCTGTTTGTCTTCTCGTGTTGTAAGTTCTGTTACCATTGTATGCATCCTTGGGTTCTTGAAAAGCACTATATAAGTTTCACGTATCATTATTATTACTATAATAATCATGCGTATAATCAGGCAAAGCTTATCGAGAGTGAAAATAAGCAAAAAACTCATTCTGCTACCATGAATGCTAAAAACAGTAGAATTAACTGCAGAGCCAACAAATAAACATGTAAGATCACTGAGTTAGAAGTTAGAACCTTTTTGTTTATCATAAGCACCATGAAGTCCCAGTGAACTCAGACTGCTTTCTTTTTTTCTTCGTTTGCCTCGACCCACCACACCCAACCGTTTTGTTTGTTGCGGCTTGTTGTTATTGTGAAAACTAAAATTGAAAATGAAAACTTAAATAACAGCAATCACCACAAATAATTGCGATCAGGCGATTGTGTAATAATTGTGACAGGCCTGCACTCGTTCAGTGGGCTCTGGAGAAATGTAGACCGTGGGTACGTTTAAGTAGTTTTTCTTACAGCTCTTATAAGCGGAACCGCGATGTTCACGCTGAGAAACCGCGGAGCTTCCTGCCTCTCTGGGTTTCATCTTGGCGAGTGTGAAGAGCAGTTAATTCTGAAAGTAAAGAGCGACGTTGTCTCACAACCATTTCCCTTTTCTCATGTAGGCACAGCATCTCAAAGTGACTCAATACTGCGAACAAGTCAAACTGATAAAATCCACCCTTCAGTCCCCGAATAAGCAGATCCTCCGTTTCTTTTTCACTCTGCACAGTCTGTGTGATAAAGCACGGCAGAAAAACTTCCCATTTCTGAAAGAACAGGAGATAAATTTAGCCTGAACGATTTGTCAGACAGTCTGACGTAATGGATTTTGTACACACAGCAATATATCGTCAATGTTTAGGGGTCCAAGCACCCACAGTGCTGCATCCCTACTGTTTTTGCTCAGACATGCATAAATAATTTTTCTTCCTTCCTTCCTTCCTTCAATCAAGGTCTGTAAGGCCTACGAATATGAAATTGGGTCAACAGGTAGGGCTGCAACAAACTAATAATTTCCTAGTTGAATAATCTGCCGTTTACTGAAACGAATACTCGATTATTCAGATTATGAATCACTACCAAGTAACTTTTATGTGGCTATTAGCTTTCAAATTTAGTTTGAGGTTGTTTTATGTATTTGCTAACTAACAATGAAGACAAAGATAAATAACATTCAAGAATTCACTTGAATGTTAATGAACTTTCCTGCTAATACAAAAGATAAAAAAAAACTCTGATATATATTTTTCCTGTCAAATTGTATAACATATATTAATTTATAATATATAAGGATGTACAAAGTAGCAGCAAGAAAATATTACAAAACCAAATCAGTTTTCAGTATTTTTTTTAATGTACCTTCAATCAGGTACATTAAAAAAAATCAACCTAAAATTAAATCGTAAATTTAATCAGTGCAAACAGATGAAAGTCAGTGTCTCTCCGGGCTCCTGTGAGAGTCTCGCTCTCATCTCTGATGGAGCGGAGGGGAAAGTGGCGAATGTTTGTGGCAAACTTCTCTTTGAACAGTTAAGTTTGAATGATTTTGAGTAAACACTTCATTTCATCGGTAACCCTTTGTCCAGCTGCCCTGTGTGTTCAAGCAGAACTACCTCCTGAAACTGTGAGTGGAGCCAAACATTCGCTGAGAACAGAAAACTGTTTGCAGTCGCTCTCCTGTGTTTGCTGAATCTGAACGCACCGGTGGCCTCGACGCTAAGAGACGATGCAGTGTTTAAAAGTGCAAACGTTATCTGGAAAGTGAACAGAGTCGCTGTGAATAATAGTTACTTGGTTCTCTGGTCAACTCGTTCCAATTCCAGAGAGCAGCATTTCGGAATATGAAGTGTTCCAGCTCAGCTCAGAACATGAAGTAGGACAGAATTTAACACTACCATTAGCTAGCGCAGCTATCGCCGCGTCCCAAACCACACACTTCTGTACTTCACACACTACACTAATGAGTGCACTTCTAATGGTATATGCACTATTTAGTGAGCTAGTATGCGGTTTGGGACGGGGCGTATCTTACAGAGATGAATCTTCTTCACCCAGTGAGCCGACAAGTTTCCTTTTCAGCTGCTCCAGCATTGAGGACGTGCTCCCGTGCCAGCCAAGGTTTAGCTCTCACACTTCTGAGGATTTTGTTCCTGAGGCTGCCGTCGCGCTGCTGTTAACTCTCCAGTAAGCGGTCAAAACGTTTCTAGTGAGCGCGAGAAAGACGCGTAATGACGTCACCAACTAATCGACTACTAAATTAATTGCCAACTAATTTGGACGTTGATTTTAGTCGGCTAAGTTGAATAATCGTTGCACCCCTATTAGCAGGTATTACTCCATTCCACTACTAAGGCACACGAGATGGGCCTAATTGGCCTGAAGGGGACGCCATGGCACAGTGTCTTACATTTTGGCCGATACTTCTTACATCATGAGGCTTGCAGACGTAATTCTGGGTACTGCTGATTTGTTTTAGCTCATGCTAAACCAAAATTCACCCAAAACTGTTTAGAGAGAACCTCAAAAGACAAAGTAAACAAACCAATGGATTATTGACCAAATCGAGCCTCACCTCTTACTCGAAGATCAGAATCCAAACTGAAGCTCTTATTTTGGACACATTATGAGAAGAACCAGTTCTAAGTGGGCAACATGGCAAAAATTGTAGCATGATACTATACTACTTGACATTTTCATGTACATGATATGTCAGGATATTTGTTTCTGACATTTGATGAAGGTGGGGTTAAACCACACCCCACCTGCGTCTGTACTGGTTGACAGGTGGGAGAGAAAACTGATTAGTGTGCGAGAAGCGCAGACTCGGATTATTTGTTTGCCTCCTGATCAGTTATTATACACACTTATTATACACACTTAAAAAAAGATGGTTCTTCAAGGGCTCTTTAGTAAAGAAAATGGTTTATAGAGAACCTTTTTTATAAGGGTTATATATAGCACCAAAAAGGGTTCTGCTTTTGTTACAAGCTTGACGTTTGTAACAATAGAGGAACCTTTTTTGGTATATATATGTATACAGAACGCTTTCGCGATGCGAAGAACCCTTTAATCATGGAAAGGGTTCTTTGAGTGTTAATGGTTCTATATAGAACCATTTTCTATATAAAAAAAAAAAGCCTTGAAGAACCACTTTTTAAAGTGTGTAGTCAAACTAATCACAAACAAAAATTAGCAGTGAAAAAATGCTCCTTAACTGTAGTAGTAATAGTAGTAATAATAATAATAATAATAATAACGACAAATGTTTACATCTCAAACACTCAATTATGTTGAAGTATCAGTGAAATTCCCTTAATTAAGAAGCTTGAAGACCCACACAGAAGACAGGTCTCCTCACTAGAAGTCGAAATCAATTTTATGGCACTTAAAAACAAAATAAATTATAATGGTAATAACAATAAAATAGTAATGATGACGTAAATCTAATTAGTCTGTATCTGTGTGTTGCAGGTTCGGGGCAGCTCCACTCACACCCGCGAGGCGTTACGGAGGCACTTCCAGGAGCTGCAGACGGCGCTGAGTCGCCTGCTGAGTGACCGTCTGAACGCGCTCCTGCAGGAAGTGGACGCCATCGAGCAGGACAGCGTCAGCCCACTGGACGACTGCCAGAAACTCATCGAACATGGGGTCAGCATGGCAGACGAACTGCTGCGTGAGGGTGAGACACTCAGAAATACAAACTACAGCTCACTACAAAACCTTTAGTCCTTTGTTTTCAGTCTCAGATATTATTCGATCTGATATTAAATCTTAGTGTAAACTGTAATGTGTGTGAATGTTTGTTAAAGCTGAGTGTCGTTACTGAGGAGGAGAGTAAAAACAGACTAAAACACGGTGAGCGTGAGCTGCTGCTGCGAGTCGCCCTGTAAAGCCTGAAATAATCATTTAAAACTCAAGAGATGTCGAGTTTTTCACACCACGCTGCACGTCTTTACGTTTTAACGTCACACACAGACTCAAAAAGAAGGTCCGGCTCAATGTTTAGGACTTAAACGATCTCAAAATCAACAGCATACTGATTAAGATATGATGACAGTAGTAGATAATTCACTCACATCCTCAGAAGACGCTCCTTCAAGTTTTGAGTTTGTTTAATTTCTCTTTCAGTCGCCACCACCAAATATTGTACTATGAGTCAGTCTTAACAGATTATGAAGACTGGGTGTCTCACACTATCAGACTGGTTTTTGCAGATATTTTTGGGTGACAAACATTGAGAATCACACATTTAAACGACTTTTAAACTGTTGCTGAACCGAACTGAAGCTCTCTGAACTCAAACTCGCACATTTCTCCCGTTACGAGGAGATGCAAATAAATAACGTGGAGCTGCTGCTGCTGTTTTCTCTGCCGTTTGTGCTGAAACAGTAAAGAAGCAGCAGCCAAATATGTTTAATTGAGATTCATATTAAAAATATGATCAGTTTGGTATTTTTTTAGAGCTTTAAATGCACATAAACCCCATTGTGCCTTAAACTCAGCTCATTAAAAAGCTTTGCTCCACACGTGAGAGACTTTGTGCCATTTTTCTTTGTTTACTTGCATTTTCTTCTTTCACACTCAGTTTTCAGTGGCTGTGGCAGGAGTCTGTTCAGATTGAGGCGTTGATCAGTTTACACGAGATGACACTGAGAGTCAGGTCGGAAAATCACGCGTTTAATAGTAACAGTAAATCTGAGTCTGCACACGACTCCACTCTCTCTCCAACTGTCGACTCCAACTGACCCAGAAATCTGCAGACTAGAGTCGACCAGTTCAGAAAGTCATGGAGTGTAACCCCAGCTTTAGCTGATATTGTGGAAATAGTCTGTAGGCACTGTGTTTGCTCTTTGTGTTAAAACTGATAATGTCATTACCGAGTAAGAAGAATATAAACACTAAAACGTGGTGAGCGTGTGCTGCTGCGAGTCGCCCTGTAAAGCCTGAAATAATTATTTAAAAGTCAGAGATGTCGAGTTTTTCACACCACGTCGTACGTCTTTACGTATTGACGTCACACACAGACTCTAAAAGAAGCTCCGGCTCGATGTTTAGGTCTGATTAGAGAAGTTAATTCATCACTCGTCCCAGATAAGCATTAACATCAGTATCTGCTCAGATCAGATCTTCAACTCTGAAATAAAAATTGTAGGACTGGGAAATATGATGATACATCAGTATCATGATAAATTGTCACAATACAATCTGCTTTTCTGAACATGTGTATATCGTCAGTGTTTTATTAATGTTACATGTGTTCGTTTGTCCTGAGCTGATGGCGTGATGATATTTTTGGAGTTGTATATGCTGAGTTTCAGGATGTTGACATAATAGAAGTTTGTTTGGACAAACCGCACTCACTGTTTTGGCCCAGTTCTCTTATTATTAGACAGCACGAAGCGAGAGCAGCCCGACTCACTTCATTAACTCTTTACTCCCTTATTATTCCACTGACCTGTTTAAATGTAGTCAGTCTGAACAGATCAGCTCCTAAACTGACCCGCATACACAAAACAACAGAGCTTCACGTGGCTCGTCCAGAAGTAAACAATCATGATGGCCAGCGAACGCCAGTCGCTCCTGGAGCTTTCAGTTTCGTCTTTGCCAGCATGACATGAGCGATTATGAAGTTCCAATAACTGACAGCTGAGCTCATCACCCAGAATGTGTTCACGTTCTCCCTAAAAAGGGCGCGTTATTCGGCCACGGCCACTGCTTTGGTTCGTGTCCTTGAATTCTTTAAACTGTTCTTCGACGCTGCAGCCTCGGTGTCCTCCGGCCGCGTTCGGCCGTTTCGTTCGAAACCTCTTCGAACACGGAGCGGCTGCGATACGTCTCTAATTATTGTACAGAAATATACATATTTGAGTCTCAGCAGCGCGAAATTCTGACGAATATTGAGCTGGATTGACGTAAAAGTCGCATGAACTCTGATCTGGCTGTTCAGACTGAGTCTCACTGCCGCAGATCGGATACGTGTCGGATTTCAGTACCACATATGAAAGCGTCTCAAAGAGGAAATGAAAATGTCAGATTCAGTGTGTTTATCTGTTCACACTGACACACAGACACACATCTGAGTCACATATGAGGAAAAAGATCGGATTTGGGCCACTTTTACCTGCTGTGTAAACGAAGCCTTAGTTGAGTACTTATTTAAATGTATTGCACTGCACTGTGTTTAATTCTGTTCTCTTGGTATCAACATGGGCTTCTGTTTCCAGCAGTATCTGAGCTCAGCAAAGATACTAACAAACTAGCAAAGATACTTTCTCTGACTGACGACTAAACACTTTAAGTCGCTCTGATTAAGAGCGTCTGCTAAATGCTGTAAATGTAATTTATAGTTAGTTTGTCTGCCAACTGCATCAAAATGGAGTATTTTTAATAATTCTTGTCCCAGCCTCGGCAACACGAACAGCACATGTCCGCTGTGGCTGCAGCTTAGCGGGTGCAGTAACCGTCCATCTTGGACCGAAATGCAAACAGAAGGTTCTTTTACTTCATTAAATTTCAGTAATTAGATCAGTTAACTCATTAAAGGTTTAGCTCAGTCCAGATCCTGACAGATGGGCGTGAGAGACTCCACAATGCAGTGTGTTCTCAGCAGAGCTACAGTGTTTTCACTGTTTACAGTGGTGTTTTCGGCACAGCTGAGTTTCTGACCCCTCCACAGCCCTTCTTCTTCTGAAGGTCTCTCTGTTCTCTCTCTCTCTCTCCTGCAGGAGAAGCTGCCCTTCGCTGTGGGATCAGTGATAAAGAGGATAAGCTTTGCAGCTTCGCTAAAAAAGCCCTAAACATCCAGCTGGACAGGTGAGCAACAGTTATCAGGTCATGTGTGTTTTAATGTGTGTAGATTTTAAATTCTGATTATATTCAATCAGATCAGAATCTCTACATAACTACACAACTTAGTTTCTTAGTAGGTACTAAAGAGTTCATAGTATATACTGAATATAATTCATAGTAGATACTGAACAATTTATAGTAGGTACTGAACAATTCATAACATACTGAAAAACTCAGTCATGGATAATTCATAGTAGATACTAAATAATTCATAGAAGATACTGAATAATTTATATTAGATACTGAATAATTCATATTGAAATAAGTATACGCCTAACCTTAACAATTCATTTCAATGGAAGTTTAAGTTTGTTTTGTTTCAGTTCAGAGTCACTATTGAAAATACACTGAATTCACTTGCGTAACTGAAGGCAAGGCCAGTTTATTTATACAGCGCTTTTCAAACACTGCTGTCATTCAAAGTGCTTTAAAAATGAGAACTGAAAAACTGAAGGAACCGTTTACACAGGAGTGGAACGCAGACAAGTAACTAACCTTTTACACTAATCAGCTACACTTTATTGTGTGTTGCTCTTCCTGTTCACTCAGGCAAAGACAAAGCTTTTCCTCAGTGAGAGCTGGAGCCGAGTTTAGAGATCAGTCAGAGCTGATTCTGATCTGATCCGTCTTTATTTGGAGTGAAATCTTAAGTTCTATACATTCTCTGCTCAAAGTAGCGATGCACTGATACTGGAACTGTGGGCTGATGCTCATATCTGATATTCGTTATGCTTATATTTGCTGATGCAGACACATTTATAAAATATAAAAACTGGGACTAAATCTCAGAAACAAAGGAATCGTGTAATCAGTAAAATGAATAAGATGGACATATTTTATTGTATTCATACATCAACATTCATTTATCAGCCCAAAGCTGCTCATTGTTTAAGCAAACATCTACAAATACTGATACAACCCCAATATTATTGAGCATCCTTAGCCCAAAGGTGTCTTACTGCTAAATTATTATTATTATTATTATTACTACTACGTTATTCTGAGAGATGAAGGTAAATTCTATTGAATGTTACCAAACACAGAGACAAATCACTAATATGATAATATAAATGACAAATAAGCAGAGGATAAACAAACCATCAAATAGTAAACCATCCTTTTTCAGATGCAGCCAAAAATGTGACATTATTTAAAGAACTGTTATGATAATTATAGAGTAAATGTAGAGTCTGAGTGACGCGCTGGTGCAGTCTGAGCCGTAAGCCTGCTTATGAGATTTAAACTCCACCCTGCTGAGATTAACTGAAGATCACAACTTAATCACCTTTACATAATTTCAGGCTCTAATTGATTGCCTGCAGTTCTGCTGTTGCCTGCTAAGAGGATGAAGAGTGTCCTTTTAAAGGGCCCGTATCAAGGAAAACTGAAATTTTCACGCTTTTTAAAAAATTTTTGATGTATTATGTAAACAAGGTTTAAAGCTGTAAAAACGGCCTGGTTTGAATTCATCATGGCTGAGATGTCATAACTGTGAACACATTCACACTCACTGTCCATTTTATCAGCTCCACTTACTGTATAGGTGCACTTTGTAGTTCTACAGTTACAGACTGTAGTCCATCTGTTTCTCTGATACTTTGTTAGCCCCCTTTTACCCTGTTCTTCAGTGGTCAGGACCCCCATGGACCCTCACAGAGCAGGTACTATTTGGGTGGTGGATCATTCTCAGCACTGCAGTAACACTGACGTGGTGGTGGTGTGTTAGTGTGTGTTGCGCTGGTGCGAGTGGATCAGACACAGCAGTGCTGCTGGAGTTTTTAAATACTGTGTCCACTCACTGTCCACTCAATTAGACACTCCCACCTTGTCAGTCCACCTTGTAGATGTAAAGTCAGAGACGATAGCTCATCTGCTGCTGCACAGTTTGTGTTGGTCATCCTCTAGTCCTTCATCAGTGGTCACAGGACGCTGCCCACAGGACGCTGTTGGCTGGATATTTTTGGTTGGTGGACTATGCTCAGTCCAGCAGCGACACTGAGGTGTTTAAAAACACCAGCAGCGCTGCTGTGTCTGATCCACTCGCACCAGCACAACACACCAACACACCAACACACCACCACCACGTCAGTGTTACTGCAGTGCTGAGAATGATCCACCACCCAAATAGTACCTGCTCTGTGAGGGTCCATGGGGGTCCTGACCACTGAAGAACAGGGTAAAAGGGGGCTAACAAAGTATCAGAGAAACAGATGGACTACAGTCTGTAACTGTAGAACTACAAAGTGCACCTATACAGTAAGTGGAGCTGATAAAATGGACAATGAGTGTAGAAACAAGGAGGTGGTCAGAATGTTATGCCTGATCGGTGTATATCCAATTTATTTAGCCCACAGCAGTTTAGCCCCGCCCATTCACACAAGCTATAATGAACGTTTCAGCTTTCTTGAACGAGGTATGATGCATGGCAGCCAATCAGATCAGAGCTTATTTACATATATCAGTTTTAAAGGCACAGTAACAAAAACAGCCTGTTCAGTTTTAAGGGATAAAGAGAGACTGGAAAATGACTTACGACTGTTTGGAACATAAACCCACACAAACGTAACAGGATAGGATACGGGCCCTTTAAGGATACGGGCCCTTTAAGGATACGGGCCCTTTAAGGACGCGGTATCTCTGTGTGTTGTTCAGCCTCCCAGAGGTTCCTGCGTTAGTGGACGTGCCCTGCTTGTCTGCGCAGCTGGACGACTCGTTGCTGCATGTGATGCGCGAGCGCGTGGCGCGGCACGGCAGCGTATCGGCTCATCCGCCTGTACAGATCGAGGAGCTGGTGGAGAGACCGGGAAGTGTGCTGGTGCGCTGGTGTAAGGTGGGAACAAATAGATAATCGGTATATTATAATAGCAAGTGAACCATTAATAGTAGATACTGAATAATTCATAGATGGCACTGAATAATTAACAGCAGATACAGAAAAATTAACATTAATCGAAACCATATCGCCCCCTACACTTCCTGTAGTGTATTACAGTCTGTCAGAATGACTGTGTGGATCATATGAACATTATAGAGCTTTTTAAATGACACAGTAGAAGCCATATCGCCCCCTACACTTCCTGTAGTGTATTACAGTCTGTCAGTCTGTATCGGCCTGGTTAGTGATGATGTTGAAATGCTGTCTGTTTGCAGGTGGATGAAGACTTTAACCCTCAGGATTACCGTCTGCAGTATCGCCGTAGCAACGCGACTCAGTACGAAGATGCGTATATCGGTAAGGACTGTGAGTTCCTGGTGCTGCATCTCGACCCCCACACCGATTACCTGTTCAGAGTCTGCGCTCGCGGAGAGGGACGAACAGAGTGGAGCCCCTGGAGCGTCCCACAGACAGGATACACCACCCTCACACCACACGGTACACACACACACACACACACCACACACACACACACACACACGTTTGTCTTGCTATATATAAGAGGACATCCATAGACCTAAACCTAACCATAACCTCAGTATCCAAAAGGCAATTTTTCTGCTCTTTTAGTTTTCAAATAAATAAAGTAATTGAGGTGAAAACACCACATGCTCAAATGAGGAGCAGCAAAATGTCCTCATATAGTGCTATCATATAGTGCTATCATATAGTGCTATCATAGCGAGGACATTGGGTCCTCACAAGTATAGCAATACAAGAAAAAAAAATACATACATTATACATTTATATACAGCCGTAAACAAAAGGTTTGAACACTTCTGGTCAAATTACATTTTGTTGATTTCCCAAGTGAGAATAAGACATATTTACTCATCCACTACAGAGAACACACTCAAATACGGCACTTGCTGCACATTTTAGTGGACAATTTCCGTTTATTTGCATAATTTAACATATTGGAAAACATAAAACATGCCTTTAGCACAGGTTGCATTTTATGTTTTCTGTTTCCCCCCAATGTCATATTTAGCAAAAAACAGTAATTGTGCATTAAAAAAAATGCAGACTTGTTCTGTTTTTGGTGCACGTTTATTTGTTTTGATCCTAAAGAAAGATTTGGTGCATTGTGTAAAAGCTATGAGTGCACAACGTAAGTCTGATCAGAATGTATTTATAAATGCTTATTCCAATAAACGCCATCTGTCATAAAGGCTGCTTCAGCTAACTGATCAAAATTGGCAAATGTAACCTTTATAGTGAAAGATGCTTTTTGGAATAAACATATATGTAGGATTATGTTCATTGTCATGACAACCTTATGTAGGTGTCGTGTAGCCTTATGAACAGCGCCCTACAGTAAAGTGTTACAGATGCCCCCCCCCCAAAATAATTCTGCTTAGTCTATATGTTCGGTGATTGCAAATCCAAAAAAATAAGACATGAAAATTTGTTTTAAAACATTTTTTTTTAAGAAGAAGGATCTACATGAATTAGTAAATCTTAATGAAGCTGTTCTGCAGTTCTTAACTTAGACTGCGATGATATTTATCACATTCTGATCTGTTCATTTTTAAATATTTTGAGTTTACAGCCCGGTATAATGTGTGTTCTGTCCTGTCTGTGTTTAGAGTGGAGTCCAGGTGTGGACGGTTACATCCTGAGCAGCAGGAAGAACATTGCGATGCGCAGTGACTCTAACCCCGGCGCTGGGGGGGTGCTGTACTCCAGCTCCCCGACTTACTTCTGTGGACAAACACTCACATTCAAGTACGTCCCAATACAACACCACAGAAACGTGCTTTCAAAGTGAAAGTTCAGCAAAATATTTAATTCTTCCAGTTTTTTTCCTCTCTCTTATCCTGCGTTCACACCGGCAGCGACGCAACAGAGCATAATTTTCAATGAGGCCTGGCGATTTCTGGCGAACGGAGGCAGCTGCGAACATTGGCAACACAACAAAGTTGAGCGAAGTTTAACTTCATGCAAATAAGGAGAGAAGCGATGTGTTCACCAATAGGAACTGAGCATTGAGCAGGGTGGTACGCACTTTATCTCCACCACTGTGAAATGGTACACTTCTTTTTTTTGTTTCCTAGATGATTGTTCCTACTAGAGATAGAGGAACAGCGGCAGTGAACAGACCACACTGTTTTCTGTACATACTAACTGCACTGACAGTGATGCACTAAACAGGGATTCAATAAAAATAATCACAGTAGCGATTTCTCCCCGGGATTTCTATTTTATAGTGGGAACGCATCTGATTTGCACTTGGCGCCTATGAAACCATAGCAACCAACGGCCTTCTCAAGGTCAGAAACGTCCACAGGCGATGAGCGACCAGTGATGCTGGCGACAAGAGGCGAAAAGTCGCTGCCAGTGCTTCTAATTAGGCCCATATTCGATATAAATATGGATATAAATATTAATATAAATACAGATATATATGTGGTTATAAATATTTAATATAACCCAAGTCGACCAGCGATGAGGGCGACGAGAGGCAAAAAGTCGCTGGCGGTTGAACGCAGTGTTACCCCCAGATGAAGTTGATCAGCCAAGGCAGGTCTGAGGTTTACTTCAGTTGTAGCGCTGAAGCTGTGAGGGTCACATAGCTAACAAGTAAAGGAAGCTTATACCCACCAGTTAGCATTGCGCGCGTCGCATGCCTAAATCAATTAAACCCTGTGGAGGTTTTCAGTATCTCAGTATTATGTGGTTTCTGACTCTGTGTGACTCGCTGTTCTCTATAAACATGGACTGAAGTACATTAGCACAGCTGAACACACTAGGAACCACCTGGAACACTGGATTCTGTGTCTCTCTGCAGGATTTCGGCGGCCGGACAGATGGATAAATGTGACAGTGTTGGAGTTTGTGCGGACAACCAGAGCGGAGCGGAGTCTCTACAGAGAGATCAGGCCGTCTGCATCTCCACCAACGGTACGATTCACATTTACTTAATTTTATAGGAACGGAAATCTGTGACCAGACAGCCACACGAGTCGAGTCAGTCATGAAATCTCACCGATTTGATTATTTTGGTATGATTCTGAATTATTTTTAAAAATATAGTCCATACTAGTGAAAGGTGTGCAGGTTAGTGGAATATAGTGGGATGGTTTTGAATGTTACTTTAATAGCACACTTTACTGAATATGATATATGATGATATAATCACTGTTAGTTAGTGATATTATCACAAATGTTTGCTCTGCATCAGAAAAAATAAAACACATACGCAGACGCTGGTTTCTCATTGAAGATTGATGTGAGCGCAGAAACTCATTAAGAGTTCTTAAACAAAATCTGCTGTTCTTTCTTATAATATGAAGCAAAAAGACGTGTGAGCTTCAACCAAACCAGCCACTGTCCTGCTGCGTCTTCAGAGCTGAAGTGTAAAGTCTGTGGATGTGACTCGGCTGCAGCGTTTAGGCCTGTTTCATTCAAAATCTACGAGGCTGCGTTGCCCAATATCATTTCCTATTGTGACTGACGAGTCTGAGCTTCATCAAATGTTCAACTTTGAACTTTTTTGGTCCGTTTTTTCTGTCAAGGCATCGTTTTCGTGGCAAGAGACGGTTTTTGACAGATAGCAAAACATCTTTAAAAGACAACCCTAGTTTTGGAGCAATGAAGCTAATGTAGCTAACAAACAATGCAAGTTTGTCACCCAGCAATTAGCATTATAACTGCACGCATGGTCATACTATAAAAACAATGTTGGTGTTCTAGTTTTACATTTTCATCTGTTCAGTTTTGCATTTGTTTTTTTAATTTGTTAGTTTTAAGGGTGCATTAATAGTTCGTTTTATTTTTATTTCATTTCGGTTTTAGTTTTTTATATGATGAACAGCAGGTGCGATAAAGGACGAGTAAAAATTTCACAATAAACAAATTTTTCTCAGTAATTCTATTTTGTTTGTTTTGCAGTGGACATAGTTTTGATTTACTTTTTGTGCTGTTTTAGTTAACGATGAAAACTCTGCTCCGTTTTAATAGAAAACCCAGTCAAATATGCCCGTATTTCTCTGCAGGTGCCGTGTTTGTTAATGGGAAAGAAATGACCAACAAGCTGCCAGCGATCACTGTGGGGTCTTCGGTCACGTTCGACATGGAGGTGGTCAGCCTGTTTCCCGTCAGCAACAACAACAACAACCCCAGCGACGGCGGCACCTTCAAGCTGAGGGTTACGATTGGCTCAGGGAACAGAGAGGTGGTGTTTTACTGGCTGCTGGATCAGGTGGTGGACTGCCTGTTTTTCGGCTGCTCTTTCACGCACCCCGGCTGGAAGGTGCTGGTGTTCTGATGTTGGCGATGCAGCTCCTGCGTTTTAAAGAGGGGGGGGCAGTTCCGGCCTGCTGGACCCACAAACCTGCAGCACATCAGCTTCACACCCACTCAGATTTGTTTTTTTCCCGTCTTGATTAGGTGGATATTGTCAGTTCTGTCAGTGCATGTTTCATTGAAAAGAGACTGAAAAGAGGCTCATAAACGACGTAGATGTTAAGTTTTCACGTTTGAATCCTCAGAAGGCTGCGAGTCTAAGGCTACATTCACATTACAAGCCTCTTTCTTTCTTACTGGATGGTTCACATTCCCAAAGATAATTTGCTCTCAGCTGTTCATTATTAGAGCAAAACAAAGGTGAAAACAGCTCAGATACACTGGGCTTGATTCTTGATTGAGAAAGGTCCTAAGAAAAAGTCTCCGTCAGATTCATGTCGTGTTCTTAAAGCACAGAACTGTTCTCACCTTTGTGCTCTTGAGTGTGTGTAGATTCTGTTCTTACCTAAGAACAAACCCCACATAGGAGAACACTGGTGAATGTCTGAGTCTTCGTCAGAACTGCATAAGTGGGTTTAAGAAGACATTTTCTTAAGAACGGTTGGTGAATGAGGCCATTTGATTCTGCAGTGTTTACTGGCACTAACTTAACACTGAATGATGCCGGATATGCAGTTAAAAAGCCCACGTAAGTTCCGAGCTGGCTGTTCTCATTAACGCCGTAAATCAGATTTCCATGTGATTCAGGACCACATAAAGATGTACAGGTCTGATTTGAAAAGATCAGATTTGCATGTCCACACAGCTCTGAAAACATCGACAAAAAAAATTATTTGTGCCACCTAAAGGGCAACTCCACTAATTTGTACAATGTTTCTGCATAATTAATTGGCTAAGATGTAAACAGAGTCATTCAGAGTCATTCAGAGTCATTCAGAGCGGTTTGGTGTGTCTAGAGAAACTTACTGAGTCAGAACTGTTCACAGTGGTGGTGATAGGAACCAGACGTCCACCTCTAAAAGCTCCCTCACAGAAAGTTACTACATTAATGGTTATGAATTCACTGCCTGATGACTGAGACACTGTTTTATGATACGAATTTACTCTGTTCACATCTCAAATGCTCAGTTAAGCAGGAATTTTGAAAAATCGGTGGACTCCCCCTTTAGGTCTAGTAATGTGAACGTAGCCTACGGGAGCATAATTAACCCTGCTGAGCCGGTTATGGTCCTGCACAGTGTGTGAAACATTTTTCTTTCTTGTTAAATGTGGCACTACTGTTTTAATAGTTTCTGTTTAGATTTGTTTACAGTCTTACGCTTCGGCCAAATTTCACGTTCGTGTTGATTTTCTGAGTGTTAAGTTACACGTCCTCTACAGAGACACATCGTAATACACAATTACTGTTTATTTACTAAATTTATAATGTGGTGGGGTGGTGGGGGGGGGGCATTAAGTATGGCCTGTGCAGAACTAAACATGTTAAATTCAAATAAATATAAATTGTGCACATTTAGCAGACAAATGCCACATTTACATAGTTTTTCCCGTGTAGAGGACTTGGCAACTTGTTTACAGTTAGAAAATCAACAAAACATAATAAATTTTTCCAAATGGACTGTATAAACATCATGCTTCAGTTTTTAGGCTTGACTGCTGATTCACACCAGACACGTCTCCCAAACGATTTCAGTCGTCCGTCTAATCACTAAACCCACATCTTAATTGAATTTTTTTTAATGAGCATAAACTCTGACGATATAATTAACTAAAACGTGACCTTGTTGCAGCTGCCGAGCAGCTCCTGTGCTGTACCATCGCTGTAAAGCGTACAGTTAAGAGCTTTTAACTGATACAAACAGCAGCGAAGGACTGATCAGTGTTTTGTGGCTGATACTGATCACCTTTCAGCACGATCAGCCGATACCGATACCGATACCGGTCATGGGCAGGTCTGGACTGTTAAGGCCTGACAACAAATAGGATGATTTTAATGTAGTTGTCTGAAGCATTTTTCTTTCTAAACACTGAACTTTTTTTTCCTTTGAAGCACTTAAACTGAACAGCGCACATACATACTGGCTACATCCTGTTCTACAAAAAAAGACAAGAACAGGGAGTGCCAGCGCCTCCTACAGGAGATAACACTGCATAACGAGCAATACTGCAGGTCAGTCGGAGGATTCTGCTGCTGTTTGTTCTTCCTTTTGGTAAAAAGAAGCGAAAATCGGCCGATAACGATACACAGCCAATCGATTTTTCCTTCTCTGTTAAAAAACAAATTGATTTAATTGCAAAAAAGCAGGTGTGTTTGTAAGGGCTGTAAGATTTAGGAGTGCAATTTTCAAATCACAAAAGTTGAGATTTTTACAGCCTACATCATCAAAAACGTCTTAAGTTTAACACAGAGACTGTGAGCTGTTTCTAGACCACTCAGAGGCAACCAAACCTCCATGTGTTGTGAAATTACAACCACGACTTACTGGCTGTCTGGCACGCTGCATTCAGGGGTTAAAAAGAGGATATAAAAAAATAAATTAAAAAATAATCTGAATCTCAATTTATAGAAAATAACCCCAAATTAAGTTACAGTTGCATTATTAGCCATTAAAATTGCAATTAGTTGTTTTGCCCAAATTGTTAGTGTTGTGAAGTTTTAAAATCACTATAAAACTGCTTTAATTAGAAAAGGAGAAGCAGCTGACGTGCGTAGGCGATGGAGAGAGGCTGAGGCAGTGCGGATCGGACGCTCGGCTGCTACACTTAAGCGAGGCGTCTGGTGTGAATCTGGTGTCATGAGATATTTTGTCTTTTTGGCCATCTTTAATCCTGATGTCAGAACCTTTGGTTCCTTTTAGTTTTCTACGTTAGTGAAGATCCCTCATAACGTTAGAGCTGTTAACGTGTTCCGTAGCGCAGTTTTCCGGCTGTTGACTGGGTGTGACTCTCTGAGGACCAAGTCTGAGGAGTTTTTGTGTGTCTTGTCAGGAAGAGGTGCGTTTCAGCAGGTCTGAGCTGCAGAGCTCGCTGCTCAGGTTTTACCACAGAAAAGAAACAAGGTGAGAGCAAAGCGCAACTGCAGAGATCAAAGGCAGGTTTTTAGGGTTTTTTTGTAATGAGCTTCAAGCGTTAAGGCCCCCCCCTACCCCCGCTAACACAAACCTGTCAGTTTTTAGAAACCTTGAAAACATTTTATGTATTTTTTATTATTTTTTATTATTTTTGAATGCGCCTCATGGCTGAAATTACAGCCCCATGGAGGAGGACTTTAATCTAAATCACATTTGTGGTCTGTTTTAAGAGTTTGAACACAGGGCGTTTCATATCATTGCTGTTGTATGGAAACTTAATTTTATAGGAGATGAAAAACATTTGTTGCATAGAAAAACTTAGTTTGTCCATTTATAATGAAGTTCAAATAAAAAAAATGGCAGCGATATTCAGTCGGATGGAAGGGTTTTAGAAAACCCGGTCAATTTACAGTCTCTACAGGGAACAGATTTACATTTTTTCTAACTTTAGTGCACAGTTTCTATTTATTTGCTAATGTTAACATGTTAAATATGTGTGTTAAACTCAGCAAATTCATTTTAAATTCAACTAAACATGTAATTTGACCAGGAGCGCCGAAACAATGGCGTACAGCTGTACTTCTCTGATATCAGACTGCAGTGATGTTTAAATGTGTGGCTGATAAAAGTGTGAAAACGAGAGAAAGCCAGAAAGTTTTAATTTTAGTAAAAATGTGCTTCTGCCATCTGGCTTACTTTCAAATAGTGTTTTTTGTTTGTTTGTTTTGGGTATTAAAGTAATTTAATAATTTGAAACTTGTGAACATCATAAGAGGCAGAAATAATAATTATCCAGAACAAAAAAGGTACGTGGTTCACGCACTGCTGTGTAAGTTACTTTTCTTTTTCAAAAGGAATCTTGTTGAAACGAGGCTACACCCCACCAAGGCCCGACCGATATGATACTCGTGACCGATACTGATTTTAAGAAGCTAGAAATTACAATAATTGATAACAGTAGCCGATTATAATTTAATATAGTCAAAAATTAACCAGACTTAACTGACTAAGCTGTAATCAGAACAGTCAAATACGACTGTTTTTAATCGTCACTCCTTAAACAGCAGAAACAAAGTCTTAAATAATATAAATACTGTTGGGGTGGAGCTTATTATCGTTTTGGGTTTGTTTTAATTTGCTCTTGTTTTAAGTTCTCTGTGTTGTAACATGTTAGGTTTGGGGAGATATTGATTAATCTGAGCTTAATATCGGCTGATATCGGTCGGCCCTACATGAGAGAGAAAAGTCGCATGTAGATACACTTACGAAACTGTGATGGTTCGGTGTGTTTTACCTCATTTATGTTTGTGCCTTCTGGAGACGCCTGTAAGAAAGCAAGTGAACGTTTGCCACAATAAATAAAGTTAAGTAAACACTTCAGAGTGCACTTAATATGCCAATATGTCGAAGTGAAAGTGTTCATTTTCCAGATTTCAAGCGACATGACTCATCAATAATGGAAAAAAAATCTTTATTTTTAAATAGAAAAACAACTATTTCAGATCACTCCTTTAGAGCAAAAGCACCAACCTCAACAAAGCTGGCCAACTATCAATTCATGGCAAAGAATTTTCATTTTTTTTTTTCTTTCTTAAAATCCATTTAACTTTCTTATGGCCAACCACATTTTGTGCAAATGATGCTGGTCTCCGTTTTGAGGCATAGAAAGCATAGATAAGCATTTCAGCTGGTAAAGTCACAACTCGACAGAGTCTTAAAAATCAGAAAACTCTCTCAGCCTTGCCCCCCTCAGCGTTTCAGCAAACTAAAGCAAAGCATACAGAAACCAGTTCCGCTTCCTCCGACACTCGCGCTGCCTTTGGGAACTAAGGGTCAAGCAAGAACTATAAACCTCAGGTTTTAAAAAAAAAGTTGCAGCAGTGTCACTCCCTTTGGTATGTAAACTCCACCGTAAAAAGACTAATCCGCATCCTCGCCAAATGCTTTGCGCCGTTTACTCTTCCCTTATGTACATATCAGAGGACTCGGGGTGTTTAGACACACCTGAAGAAAGAAAGCTCCCATCAGACAGTTTCAGGCTGGGGACAGAAGAGAACTGCACGAAACAGCAGCAAATAAAACTGCCGACTAGAGAAGAGAGGAAAGGGTTGCGTCCTCAAGCTACTACTTTAAACCAAATAAAAGAGACAGAAGAAGTGGAGCAGAATCAGCCCATTAATGGCAAATAAACAGCTGCCACTCTTTAAAAACAACAAACTGTGCTTTCAGACCTAAACCTGCACTAATGTCCTTACAAAAAGGTTTGTGGTAAAAAGGTACGTGTTAAAAAGCCTGAACCCTGCTCGAAGTCCATGAATCCATGGGAAAAGAAGTGTAAACATTGAGTGCAGGGTCATCTCCCTGCTCAGGAGGCTGATTTTCCTCAAGTGTACGAGATCAATACCCTGTACGTGTTTGTGTCTTGTGTTCGTGCATCACCTGGTTTCAGTGTAACAGTTTAAGACTCTGGCGGACATTCACGCTCACATTTTCAGCACCCTGGACCGTCAGGAATCCGGCCCCACTCATCTATACAGCACTCCAGGCCTGGAGGACCACAGTGCTGCTTTCCTCCTGCTCCTTAATGCAATACTCAACAGCATCTGCTGCATACAGTGGATTATCACAGACTCAGCATGTTTCCCTACAGGCGGGCGATCTGATGATACATCTTCATCAAGACAATCTTATATGACGATATATGGCAACATGAATATATTCGAATATATATCGTTATATCGTATAAAAGTGCGTCAAAATACGCTTTTCTGAGTATATCAGGATATCATCGGTACTTAAACACTTCCTAACTGCATGTTCGATTACAAAGAGCGCCTCTTCAGTCCGGTTTAATAGGACAGTGTGTGAATACAAATTAATTGGATTCAGTTTTTAATATTTTTAAAATGCAGCTCTACGTTGTCTCATAACTTCATCAAATGTCAGAAAATAAACATTATATATCATGTATCGTAAAAAACCTTTGAAGTATTGCGATATTACATTTTGCCGTACTGCCCACCTCTACATCAGTATCGTGAGAGTCATCAGTACTTCTAGAACTGAACAACTGCATGGATCAAAATTTGAACCAATTGTCCATTTTCATGTTTTTGACACAATAAAGCCTTTTTTAAGGTGTCTTTGCTGGTCCACTGGCACATTTTGTCCGAAAATTTGCCTGAGAATGCCTTTGGGTATCACGTAGGGGTGGGCGATATGACCATATTTTATCGATATCATGATTGATTATGTCACAGTGCGCTTTTCTGAGCATATCGGCAGTACTTAAAGAAAACTAACTACACGTTCAATCAGAAAGTGAACATAATTATGTTTCATTGTTATTATTATTTCATTGTAGTTTGTAAAACACTGAATATAAATAATTGTAGCTGTAGGATTATCATTATTATTACTGGCTTTTATATATGCAGCACTACTGGTTCCATTGTGTCTGTTCCAACTCAGCAAATCTGAGAAAAACTAAATATTGTTCTACATATCAGGTGTTGTGATATTTCTGCCGTATCACTTACATTTTCTTGAACGTGAGAACGGAAACCTCACTGCCGCAACAGTCCACTGTGGTAAAAGCCAAAGGGCTGTTGCTGAATTCCAAGAAAACACACTGAAATTCGTGACTAGCACCAAATCAAATCTACAACCATTACATTTTCACTTACAGAAGCAAATTAGTCACTCACTCTTTAACGGTACCAGAACATCTGATTAAAGCTGTTCTTACTAGTTTTATCCAACTTTTCAACACTGGATCGAGCGGTTCTGATTGCTCTTGCTTTCCTTTAAGGTTTTCTGGTATCTACAGTGATCATGAACTAGTCTTACTGATGAAACGATGAATTGTCTACAAAAATACATAAATGCGTCCTGACATAATTTAGCACCTGCCCACTTCAGCTTCTATTAGAAGTTCTGGCAAACATGCTGAAGCTGTTGCCTGTGGTAATCAACCGTAGACCACAGAAGCAGAAGATGGACACTGGGTTAAAAATTGCTGTAATTAGCTGAATCAGAAGTATTAAAGCAGGGAAGCTGCACTGCTCTGGCCCTTCAGGACTGGACTCCAAACGTTCAGCCAGATACCTGTGCTCTCCAAACAGTTTCAGAAATGTTGACAAACTAATGCACCACCATTAGAGAGAATGATTACAAAACCTCAGAAAAAAAAAAATCAGTAAAAGCCACAGAGGAGGAATCCCCATTTTTCTACCATGCTATTTAAAATATATTAAAAATCTTTCCAAAAGTCTTTTTGAAACAGGCACCAAAAACTATAGTTAATACCAAGTTCTCAGGGTAGAGGCCAGAGGTCACAAAGACAAAACACACGTTTATTTTTGAAGCTGATTGCTGAAGACGTCCATTAACATCACCCTGAACATCTCGTTTGGATGTAGAGGAAAACTTCAGATTCCCGCTCCAATTATTGAACTGATTTGAGGTTTAAAAGCAATAAGCTGGCATCCTGGACATACGGACAATGGAAAAATTCCATCATCTTCAAAGTTTTTTTTGTTTTTTTTTCCCCTCCATCCCTCCTGCAAATCACCCCGCAGCAATACCCTCCACCACCCCTCCTGTGTGAGACACCCTTTGACCCAGTGCCTGAGCAGAATGCGTCCAGAAATCATGTGAAGTTCCTCAGGCCCGTGCTTTCACAGGTTCTGCCATTTTACTAGCCTGTCCAGGAGTGTTGCTGGCACCGCAGTTGTTCTCGGTCCGCTGCTGACCCTGCCTCAGTAGAGCCATCGCCTTATCAATGGTCACGGTGCTCACCAGGCCGAAGTCGTGCATGCTGACCAGGTGGAGAAGAAAGTTTCTGCAGAGGTTTTTCTCTATGATAACGGAGCCACACTCCTCCACGAACAGCATGCAGGCCTGATTCATCTGATTGTCAGCTATGAATCTGAAGGCAGAAAGACAGACATTAGATCCTTACTCAAATTACCTTGGTGATCAAAAGAGTATAATAAATAATAAATGCACACATCCGAGTGTGCCGATTGTACAACCTCGTTTTTAAAAAGTTGGGACGCTGTGCAAAATGTAAATAAAAACAGAATGCAATGAAAATCAAAGTGCAAATCGTTTAAGCCCTGCATCTAACTGAAAATAGTAAAAGACAACATTAAATTTCGAGTTTTTTTTTTTTTTTAAATATCTGAATTTGATGACCAGTAAAGTTGTGTGATGCTTTAAAAAAATAAACCCTGATGTTCCACAAACAACTAAGTAAATTGGCAGCGGGTCAGTAACATGAGTATAAAAAGAGCATCTTATTAATCTGATGAGTCTTATGAATCTTAAGGCAGAAAAAAATAAATAAATAAAAATAAAGATAAACATTATATAGGCAATGGTGACCTGCACTAGGACTAGGTTTGAAGAAAGACTTTAAAAAAAAGTTAATAAACACACACATGAGTGTGCTGATTATATTATGCCACAGTAAAAATGTAATACAATAAAAAGGATACATAGATCAGTGGGAGGGAACAGAAATACACACCCGTGTTTCATTACGTGAAGGTTCCAGAGTTTCATCACCTCTTTCTCTCCCTCGTTGACATCTGTGAACTCCTCGATTTGCTGCAAGGGACAAATCAGGTGATTTCAAAACAATGACAACACGAGAGGAAAAGAAAACAACAACAACTGCTAACTCTTCTAATACGTTGTTTGCAGCCACGTGATTCCAATGAACAACATGACAACATATGACTTTGAACCATTTCTATTCAATCTATTGAGAAAAACGGCAAGGACAGCAGTGACGTTCCAGCTACTCCAATGCAGGACTGGGCAATATGACAATACATATCATTATCATCAGTGCTTGTATAAACTGACCAACTGCATGTTTCATTATAAAGAGCTAAATTTATCCAGTTTAACTGGATTTAGTGCCAAATTTTGAATAAAAATTGACTGTGTTCACAGTTTTAATAGTATTTTTATGCAGTACTACTGATCCCTGTTCTCTGTTCAAATGAAAAAATAAATATCTTTAAAAATTGTGATAATTCTTGCCATGCTGCCCACCTCTATCCAATTCTACACTTACTGGCCACTTCTCTCGTAGCTCCACTTTCGCTGATGTACAGTAAGAGACTGTAGATCACCTGTTGACGTACAGTTTATGTTAGCCATCCTCGAGCCCTGTGGGCACTGCAGTGACCAAGTTAGCTAGAGTTTAAGAGCCTTTCTTCTCTGACTGACCTGCAGCTTCATTTACAGACCACATTTAGTCCAGACTGCAGCCATAAAGCTCAGACTAACACTGAGAACACTTGGATCAAAAAACCGCAGCCAAAAAGCCTCATATTTCAAAAGACATTAAACTCATTACAATCAACAGACATGAAACAGGAGAACATTACAGTAAGTATTCAGGAGAGAAACCAAAGCAGCTGCAGCTCCGCGAGTCTCACAGCACCGACTTCTTATCAGAGCAGATTCAACCTTTAAGGTGGAACAATAACGGCTGTTTAATCTGCTCGTTTTTCTAACGGCGGCCGCTGCATTTATTTGATATGTAAAGAACATTAACAAAACAAAAAAAAACAAGTACGGATTTCTGTTTACTTTGTCCAACATTATATTTTTGAACAAGTAAACAACTGAATAGGAACACAGTTAATACATTATGAGTAACAAGAAATGTCTAAACAATTTAGTTATTTGTTTTAAGTCCTTACAGACCCAAACTGCTCTGAGCAACAATAAACGAAGCATTGTGCATCTTTTTTACAGTGACAGAACACGGCAGCTCACAGAAAGCACCAATTCTATACACTGATATTTGAAAACCTAATATCTTGAATCATTTGTGAATAATATTTCAGCCCTCAGGTATTTTGACATGGTATAATCTGGCCTTCTTTGAAAAAAGTTTGGACGCCCCGGGCTACCATGTGTAACTGTAAACCAAAGTGTACGTATAGCAAGTGCTTCTGATAAACTGGCCAATGAGTGGAGCTATAAGGTTGGTGTGGCTAATAAACTAAAATCTCCCTTGAGTAAGACCTCACCATGGTGGTCTTTTCCCGGAGCCACTCAGGGTCCCTCTCGTCCTCGCTGTCCACGTCCATCTCCTGCGGTCGAAGGGGCATGCAGCTGTCGCTGTGGAAGTACAGGCGGTTGTGTCCGCTGACGTACGTCCGCTGCTGCTCCAGCTGACCCTCTTCCGACTCCAAAAACTCGGAAAGGCTGGGCTTCGGGCGCTTTGGCCTGCAGAGACACCATCACAGACACAACACACTTTCAGCAATGCACTGGAAGATGACAGTAGATACACTGAACTGAACATGAGACTCCAGAACCACTACATCAGCTGATATGGAAGGATAAACCTAGAAAACAGCATGGCCTTACCTTCAATTCTGTACAGGGTTTTAAGAAAAGCATCCACCTACACACTAATATGCCCACAAGCCAACTCACTGAATCACTATCCCCAGTTGAAATCCCACTCTGCACATTCCTGTGATTAAATTCAGGCTTCAGGATGGCTGCTACTACTCTTTTCCAGCTATGCAACTTCCTTTTGTACGTTTATAAACAACAGAATGTCATACTGTGTCAGAAACCACACAAGAAAGCTTCAGATTACTAAACAACTTGACACAGTTGAGTGTGTGATGATTAAAGTATGGAGTTAGCACCATGCTAAATAGTGACGTATAAGCATCCGTTACTTGTTAGCTACATTAGCCTCGTAGCTTAGGTGCTAAAACTAAAGAAGCAAACTCCAGACACTAAATGCCTTGGTTTACAGCCAAAATTTGGTTTTGTCAAACTATTACTTTAAGGACATGATAATTAACAAGTTTAGATTAGGAAACAAAACTGTACCGATCATTTTCAGGATTGGGCACTTGAAGACCAACACAGTGGTTCCTAAACTGGTGTACAAGTACCCCCAGTGATGTGGGTATATGGAAAAAATTGACATTTTCACTTACTTTAGTCTTGATATCCGGATAGTTTGCGTACTTTTACACAGTGTGTGTATGCATGTGTGATTTATGACGTCCAGCCCTTGGCAAATGTGTGCCATAATCAGTTGGGTTTTTTGTCCTTTCCTTACTAATACTGGTGTAAAAGGCTGTGTGGGACAAGAAGTTTTCCTCTGCATGTCAGGTTCAGGAGAAACTAACGATAGTAGTCGTTTATGCTAAGAGGTGGGCGATATGACAACATTTATAGTTTACTTCAGAATGAACTACATATATAATACAGGCCTAACATTTAACACTGTTTATTCATCATATATTCAGTATATCTGGTGTGTTGTACCACTGCATTGTAAACATTTGATATGTTAAGGTGGATTGATTTTACAAGGCTAAATGTCTGCGTTAAGGCCATTTGAGTGTGTGCGCAAGGAGTAAGATGGGGCACTCAGCAGATGGTTTAATGTGTGAGTGGGTACAGGACTGTAAGAATTTTGGGAACCACTGTGCTAACAGAAGGATAAGCACAGCGGGACTGACCTGCAGACGAGAATGTGCGTAACGGAGGTCCTTTTAACCGGGCCGTTACGGCTGAAGGCAAAGCCAGGCTGGCAGTGGATGTCCTGAGGATTCCCCACATACGAGCCATCGTAGCACTCGTTCACAGATACATCAATCCTGGCTCCTTTGGGGTGAGGCTGCCCAGCAGGAACAGGAGAAACCAAATAAGAAAGAAATTAACATTTCCTTAGTGAAAAAGAAGCCTTACCATAAACCATGATGGTACATACACTCACTGAGCACTCCATTAGGAACACCTCCTTGTTTCTACACTCATCATCCATTTAATCAGCTCCACTGTCCATTTAGGGGCACTTTGTAGTTCTACAGTTACAGACTGTAGTCCATCTGTTTCTCTGCATACTTTGTTACCCTGTTCTTCAATGATCAGGACCCCCACAAAGCAGGTATTATTTGGGTGGTGGATCATTCCTACCTTGTTGGTCCACCTTGTAGATGTAAAGTCAGAGGCAATAGCTCATCGGCTGCTACACAGTTTGTGTCAGTCATCCTCTAGTCCTTCATCAGTGGTCACAGGATGCTGCCCACAGGACGCTGTTGGCTGGATATTTTTGGTTGGTGGACTATTCTCAGTCCAGCAGCGACACTGAGGTGTTTAAAAACTCCAGCAGCACTGCTGTGTCTGATCCACTCAGACCAGTGCAACACACACTAAAACACCACCACCACGTCAGTGTTACTGCAGTGCTGAGAATGATCCACCACCCAAATAGTACCTGCTCTGTGAGGGTCCATGGGGGTCCTGACCACTGAAGAACAGGGTAAAAGGGGGCTAACAAAGTATCAGAGAAACAGATGGACTACAGTCTGTAACTGTAGAACTACAAAGAAGTGGAGCTGATAAAATGTACAAATGGGTCTAGAGATAAATAAGTGTTCCTAATAAACTGAGGACATATCTGTAAAACTGTACTGTATGTTCACTGTTGACCATAATTAATAACAGAATTACTTGTAATTTATTTCTTTATTCAATAATATCTTAGACAATGTAAAATATTCTGGCACTCTGAATGTTAACTTCATTCTTGGCATCATTTATCATCTACAGCTACATTCATCATTCTGGAAACATCTAAAAAGTTCTTAATTTCATATACTTTCCTAGTAATTGTCTGAAACCTTTTAAGTTGATTTCTTTTTTATTTGTGTCTGCAACAAAAGTGATCTTATATTCTTAAAACCACTGATTCTAAACCTTTTAACAGTAGTGTTTTGCAAATGTCCATCACCCTGGATAAATGAGTGAGCGTGCCTAGAAAGCACTGGCAAGTTTATTTTGCTCACCACATAGTTGAAAATGAAGCGGCTGTGGGAGAGCTTGAGGTGTTTGAGGAGGCTGTAGAGTTTCCGGCAGTTCAGCGTGCACCAGGGGCAGTGCAGGTCGTCTCTCGCCTCCGTCTGCTGCCGCGTGTTATTGTTGTACAAAAACTAGTCAGGAAGCAGAAACAGAGAAGCAGCTGTGAGCACGACACTTAAACCCTGAAGAAAAGGTCAGGGCTAAATGTCAGAGCAGTCTTTCAGGAAGGTGGCTCTCACACACAGCTATCACACAGCCACTATGCTGACTATCCATAGCCAAAAACAGCACAGATGACCTCAATGCAGAATTACAGGAAGCTCTGAGCTCCTCTGATATTCCTGGAGCTGAAATCTCAGACAGAATAGAGCACCCACACACAGGTCAGACATTTCATAGTCTGAAAAAACGTTGTTACCTGATAATAAACGCGTAGTTTCTGTCGAGGCTCAACGTGGACCTGCTCCCTCCGCACCGGCATGTCTGTGCTAACTGGATCTTTAACAGCTGAGAAACAGCACACATGTCAGCGTAGTGCATTTATATAACACTGAAAAAGAAATCTTCCTACTGTCAATGTCATTTATTTAACATTACACTAGGGTGGGCAATATGAAGATATCTTTCCACGATAATGATAAAATGTGTCACAATACACTTTTCTGAGCACATCGTGGATATCGCCAGTACTTAAAGAACTCAACCACGTTAAATTACAAAGTGAGCATAATTAGTCTGTTTAATTAGATTTGATGCAGTGAAGTTTTTTATTCAAGACATTGAATAAAAACACCATGGCTGTGAATCTAATTTTATTATTATTATTATTATTGCATATTTTAAAGGTGCCACTGCAGGTTCTATTTCGTCTGTTCCAACTTACTAAATCTCAGAAAAACATTGTGAAAAATCGTGATATATTTTTGCCATAATCACCGACCACACCCCGGACAATCTTTTGGTGCATTAAAACAAAATGAATAATGTGTAAATAAGTTTTACAACAGTTTAGAGCGTGGCTCATCCAAAAAGAACCTTTTTCTGTTTAAGAATGTTTAAATAGCAAAACCATCCAAGCTGCCCATCACTAGCAAAAACTTACCCACAGTCGAATCAACTGAGCATAACGTACCTACTGTCTGAGGAGGTTTCGGGGCGCTGGGCCTGTGGCTTTCTCCGCCGCTGGTGTCCGAGTTACGTGTAGCGAGCGGTCTGGCCACAGGCGCTGTAGTGCGCTCACTTGTATCACCTGTCCAGCGCAGGGTGAACTGCAGAGTGGGGCCGTGAGAGAAGGTGTCAAACGGAGGCACCCACTGGAATGAGAGACGGTGAGAACAATTAAAAGAAAACCCCCATGACTATGATACTGCACATGAAGGAATTTTATCAGCACTGGAACCAGCTTTGCCCTGGCAACACCCCTTTTTTTCTAATCAAAAAAATTTTAATCAGTTCACAGTTGCTCTTCCAGTATTTTATGTGCACACTAAAATTTTATTTAACAACAGTTATAATCAGAGGTGGGTGACAAAGATAAATTTCAATACAACTTTCTTACTACATCGTTGGTATCATCAAAACTTTTTTTAACGCCTTTGTGTTTGACAGATTAGATGGTTGTTGGTGGCGCTGATATTGTGCATTCTGCTTCAATAAATTATTATTATTATTATTATTAATATTATTTCTGTTGTGGATTATTAATATTTGTTTTCTAACAGCATTTCTCTGTGATTTTAGTCACGTTCAAATACACTGTCTATCATTTTTACAGCCTGCATGCTCAAGCCATCAGTAAAGATTACGGTGCCTTTTACTTTCTATAAAACGAGCTGTTGAAATAATCCCAGGTGATATTCATCCCGTGTGAATGTCGGTAACCAGCTATTATATTCTGTGGAAAAGACTTTGGAGACACTCGAAAAAGCATTTACTTGTGTTCTCTGTGGCTAAAATCGAGCTGATATGTACTGAACTTTTCCCTGAACATTAAAACATAAAATTTACAGAAAAAGTTTCATTTGGTGTGTGATGTTGACTCTTGGCTGCGAATTCCCAAAGTATTGACAATGCTAAGTCACATTTGTGACACTACAGACTGCAAGGCAGATATTTAGAGTAAACGGAATAAATAATCTCGCCTGAACAGTGCCTGAGAGTTTCAGGTGTAATCTCTCTTCTAGATTTCAGTGATCACACAACTACACACGTACGATTATCATCGTGATTTGAGACTGAAATGAGTCACATAAACTCAGTGTAACTCATTACCAGACATGCATACGTAGGCAAACATTTCCACAAACCTTTCCATCCAAAATAGTTTCCCATGTGGCTCTCTTTTTGCCGATAGGACATTCTTCCATCTCCTGCATAGATACTTCATATTCACCGTCCAGCAGCTGCAGACGCCTGACAAAGAAATTAATAAACAAAAATGACTTAAAAAAATGCAGAGATTAAGGCAATTTCTTTGAAAGAATTGAATGATGTGTGTAGTATTGTAGTACCTGTTCTTATCAAACACCGTCATTTGGGCCACAAACGTCGTCTCACCATCATCCCGATGGGAGGAATAGCGTTTCTTCCTGCTGGGAACCTCTTCAATAACATCTGGAAAACAAAAAAAAATAAATATGTTCTTTAAACGTGCTATTTTTTTTGTTTTCTTTCCAATTTATACCAGCCAGTTCATAGCCAAGCAGTTCATTGTCATAACAATTATAAGAGTTTCTAACTGCATCTTTCACAGATTATTAGCCTTTACTATCAAGTTCATAAGCATGTAGGATAAAAGAACAAATCTTAGGTTTACATTTAAACAAAGAGGGAACAAAGTGCAAGAGCCTTTATTGCATGCTTGCAATTTGTATAAATGTGCTAATTTTATATTAGTATCTTTTCAGTACATGTAGCATGTGCTTTTCAAATGTATTAGATTTTCCCACAAAGCTTAATGCATGAGGGATAGGGAAGGGCGTGGGGCGTTTCCTTGATTTAAACTAATTTTAGTTTATGACATTCATAAATTTTATTGTCTTGTACAGGAACATGCTGTACAGAAACATTAAAATATTTCATTTGCATACATGCAAACGCTACAAACCAAAACCTCAACTCATTTACACTGACATACTTAATAATCACTGAACCACAGAAACCCGCAACACACTCCACAATATCCTCAACAAAATACTGAAACATTATGTAATGATGTATCACAAGACAAAGTCCTTACTGGTCTCTCTGCTGGAGAGGCCGTTGATTTCCCTCCCTCCGGGACAGGTGACCCTGAACAGCAGCGAGTAGGATTTCACCATGTGGCTGTTACTGGCCTCAAACTCCTGACTGGACACAACAATGGTGGGGCACGAGCCCACCTTCATCTGGCTGCTGTCCGGGTTCAAAGGCACCTGCTTCTTACCTGTAGGCACTTGCTTAATGGGGCAACTGACATCCTGTAGAGGGCACAAAAATAGCAAAAAGGGTTTGTGGGGGAAAAAGGTTACAGAGATAAAAATCTACTACTCAACATTAGTCACATACATACTCCACCACATTATAAAACACAAGCAGTCGTCGTCGTAACAAAAAGTACTCGGAAACTTTATTAGAGAGATAACGAAATATTTAACTGTAATTTTGAACTGTAACTATTCCATTCATCATGTAACGTTCACACAGTCAAAAGGGCAGCTGATGTTTTTAAATATTTAACAAACATATGAATAAAAGTACTATATCAAAGCTTTTTACCTTCCGTTTCTTATGACAGACTTTGATGAGTAGCACCTCCAAAGACACAGAGTTTTCTTCATTCTCTGAGTTCTGTGAATTCTTATCTGAGGGTACAGCACGAAATAAATAAAATCAAATCACTGCACAATCGCCAAAGATCACTGGGCCTCATTCACCAACAGTTATTAAGAAGAAATTCACTAATATGTTTTCCTATATGGGATTTGCAGGTAAAAATCTACATACACTCAAAAGCACAAAGGTGAGAGCAGTTCTGCGCGTTAAGAACACATCATGAATCGGACAAAGACTTTTTCTTCGGATCTTTCTCAAGAACACTGAGGAAGATGTTGGTGAATGAGGCCCAATGTCTGTATGAGTGAGCACAGCATGAACTAAAGAGAAGGAATACAATGTTAGAATACAGGCTTGTTAGAAGGTTCTTACCGATTTTATGGAAAAATCCAGTGAAAGTGAGCTGTAAGTGGGAGGCCAAACTGGAGAAAAAACAAACAAAAGCAGTAGACAGTTCAAAGTGGGCAATACGGCACAAATTTAATACCACAATATTTGAATACTTTCACGATATACAATTATTTTTCAGAGGCTTGCAAATAAGGTACTACGGACAAAATATACAAGCAAAAGGAGTAGTGCTGGTAAAATAAGTACATTTGCAAAAATAAAGGACTTGATGATACGATACAAAAATATATCACTGACATTCTCAGAAAAGCTTACTGTGACTAATTTTATCACAACAGTGGTAATAAATTCTCATATCGTCCGCCCCTATGCACAATTTAGACATACACAACAAATTTAATCCATTCCTCCAGCACTACAGAACTGAACTGTAAAGTCCAGTCGAGCCATTATCTTCTTACTTGTGTGACTCCTGCTCCATTTTTGTTCGCTCCACTTTGAAGAGCAGGTCATCCACATTAAAGCATTTTCTAAATCAGAAGAAGAGAAAAAAAACAACAACTCACTAATACACTTAAGAGCTTTTACACCCTCTCGGGTAGTTTTGTACTAGAAGGAAATCAAACACTCGTATCTTGGCTGCCTCTACACAGCTTGTGTCAGTTGGAGAGGATTTGCCTAGATATGCAAATTTTATAACTGAAGGCAATCCAGGTGCTAACAAGTCTCTCTTTTCATCACATTACAATGTTTTAACCCCAGTGCACAACATAACAAAGCATGTTCAGGATATCTTTAGGTGTGTAAGACAATACATACACACACTGCACTGTTTGCACTCCACAAGCAACGTGATGCACTTCAGAAAATGTGCAAAAGTGTCCTTACACTGTTACGTAGTTATTCAGCACGCAAAGACATACTGGGAGTCTTTAAACAGAGTATTCATAGTGTTTGCAGCGGGCTATTTGAATATATACAAAAATATTCACAAAAAGAAAGTCTAGTACCTTTTCCCGTTGGTTCTAGAGTTCCGGTGAGACATGTATGTGAGGGTTCTATGCAGAAAAATGGGCTGGAAATAAAAATAAAAAATAAGAAATAATGTCTGTTTAAAAAAGCACAGCTTGTAACCTCTCTGATGATTGTTAGTTTCATAACAAACAACGGCGCATCCCTCATTATGTACTCACCGCCATAAGGTTCCTCGTCCGAAGGAATCTATATATTTGAGTCGGTTCTGCAAACAGAGGGCATAATGCAGTTTAGAGAACTGAAAGGGTTCTGTAGGCTGTGCAGAAGTGACATTACTTTATCTGTTTTGTTTTTTTTAATAACACAAACAACACAGTGATCTGCATCGCCACTTCATGATATCACTGAGTTACATTTGGCCAAATGTCTTATTTTCATCTGTGCGCCTGACAGGGACCGAGCGATTATCCTATTTTATATATCCAATATTGACATCACCTTTATCAGTATCAGTAAAATTTTTTGGTTAGGTTGCTGGGATTCAAACTTGCGAACCAGCATCACCAGTAAGGGAGGATTCCGAAACAGCTGTATAAGTCACTCATGTAAATATGTAAATGTATGAAAACACAACCAAAATAAAACTTTTACTACGCCGAGAACTGAATAAAAACAGGACGTATTTAATGGAAACCACAGAGAATTCTGAGTAGCCCTGCCCCCTGGGTAACAATACATTATTTAAAACTGTAAAGATCTGCTGTTTATTGATTTTTTAGAGATCTGGCAACTGAGAAGACAACGATATCAGTCAGTAAAAGACAATTCAAGTAAAAGAATTGGGGTTTAGCATTATCTAAAATCTAAACATTAAACTAAGTCATCTTGTACTTCTGGTTATCAGAATTTTTAGCCCTTTACAATCAGTCTCGGTCACAAAATTTTCTTGTCAGGTTCTAGTTAGCTGATACGATACTTGGTGGTAGGGCTGCTCGAATCAAAAATCAAATATCACAATTATTTTGGACAATACTGCATGATTACTCCAAAACTTTGGAAACAACATGCACTAATTGAACTTTAAACAAAGTGTTAATAATGGATTTCTTTGAACTTTAAATAAACAGAATTCACACGAAAAACAATTTAAAAATAATGGAAAGCTGTGTGCTGGATTTATAACACAAGACAAAACAAGAACATCATTGTGAAACAAAACATCGTTTTCTCAATGGTCTTGATTTTCATTATTGTCAGAAGCCAAAATCGTGACTGAAAATGAAATTCGATTAATCGCCCAGCCCGATTTGTGGTGTATCACATCACAATGCTTCGAGAATTTTTCCAGATACAATATTTAATTTTTTCTGACATCTGAAGTGGAAAAGTGGCAAAAAAGTGCCACATTTTAAAAAGTACTACCAAAAAACCGAGCACAAATGATCATTATTTAACATTTTAAACAGGGTGCTGCTCAAAATTCAGTTGAACATGATTGATTATGCTCTTCAATAAACCATGCAGTTGTTAAATGTTCTAGAAGCACTGACGATACTCAGAAAGGCATATGGTGACATAACTGATCATGATAATGACAATTATTGTCATTTAATCCAGCCTTACTTTGTGGTCATTGCGAGTTATAGTAAGTAAAGGCATGAAAAAGGACTGAAGCCTCATATGAAAGAATACACAAACATGATAAAACACAAAGCAGATAAGGGCATTCCTGAGCAGCTTCTGCCACAGATTGTGATCTGAAGATAGTTTTATGGAGGTAAGTGAGTCAAATGGATGATAAAACAGTATAAAAAGTGTAGAGCTGGCCAATATGACTATATTTATCAATATCGTTATAAATTACATCCACAACATGCTTTTCTGAGCTTATCATCGATATGAATATCATAAGTACTTGAAAACACTCACCAACTGCATGTTTGATTACAAAGAGAGCAAAATTAGTCCTGTTTAACTGGATTTACTGCAGCTCAGTGGGTGAAATGTTAAACACAAGTAACTGAATTCGCAGTATTGACAGCATTTTTAAAACATGGCACTACTTTTGCCTGTTCTAAATGATCAGATGTCAAGAAAAATAAATATTGCGATGCATCGTGGATCACAAAGAACTACAAGTTTTGTCAATTCCAATTTTGGCAAACCTTTAATAATTAGCCCACTTTAACTGGATTTAGCGCATCTTATTGTGTAAAATGAAGACAAATTATTGGATTCAGTTTTTGATAAAGGTGGGCGATATGACAAAAACATAATATAACAATACTTTCAGAAGATTTTATGACACATGATGTTACAATATTTATTTTTTCAGTCATCTGATCAGTTGGAACAGAGATAAAACACACACTATCAAAAACTGTGAACACGATTTACATTAAATATTTGGCACTAAATTATCTTATTATCAGATGTCAGGACAAATAAATATGGCGACACATCGTGTATCGTAAAAACACTTCCTTAAGTATTGTGATCTTACAATTTTATATCGCCCACCTCTACATAAGGGCACATAGGACACGGAAAGCACGTGTCTTGGGTTTGATACACGTGTCTCTTTCCGTGTGTACGAACAAGAATTAAGCCAGTAACACAACTATTATCATAAATGTCATTATATACCCCTAAGACGTGTTTTCTTAATGCATATCAGTGGTCAGGAAAAGTGTCCAGGAGAAGTTTATGCAAAAGGTCGTCTTCTAGGCTAGACAAAGGTGACTTTAAAGTGCTTATTTCAGAGTAAAGGTGAAAATGTTCGAGCAGATGGCTGAAAAGTGCTGTGCTGTTATCTAACTACCAAACACACTTCCAAACCACAAGACTATTCGAATTTTTCGTTCCACCTTAAATGGCGCAGCAGTTACAGGACGTAACGGGGGGGAAGAATGGACCTGCAGCGCCATTTAAGGTGGAACGGGAAATTCGAATAAAAAGAAGCTGAGTAAAAAGCTATCTTCAGCCTAACCCTAAGCTAATATAGTCAGATTTTTCGGGTTCGGTTCCTACCCACAGGAGACACATGGAAGCTTACTTTCAAACGCCTGCAAGAAAAGCTCATGGTCGGCTTGAATCTGCTCCAGTTTGGGTCTCTTAGCCGCGTTCATGAGGCCGGAGTTCGTGTGGTTTCCTGCGGCTTTACCGCTGCCTGATCTGCACCCGGCTCCGTGGTGGTCAGAGCCGTGCTTCTGGGGCGCCATCCCCGAACACACAGCCTCCAAACACGGTTCCGAAAGGGTCCAACAAACGCGCAGCCGAAAGCTTCTGCCCCGAACAAAGCGGCACCGGCTTCGGCTCTCCACTCACTCACTCACTCACTCAGCCGGGCACCAGAAACATCAACACATCGGAGATTTGGTTGGCTTCCAAGATCCGGAATAGTGCAGCATCGAACCTGCCATAAGTGCCCGGTCCGGTCCGGTGGGAAAAATGATAATAAAACGATAAAAAAGACACGAAAAACTGTGGAACTTTATCCAAATTAAAGCCGGAAAAGGAGGTAGTTAACGTTAGCTGGTTAGCAGGTATCTTCTCTGCCCGTTTAACTCGGTTTCCGCTGTTTAACAAAGCGGGACTGAATATTTTTTAATGAAAGTAAGTTCAAGCGGTGCTGGTGCAGGTGTGAGTCCGAGTCGGAGTGCCAGAATTCTGGGTTACAAACCGACGGAAGACGCGTTAGCTTAACATTACCTCAGCGTTAGTTTAGCAACCGACGGTTTTCAAAAAAGCCACCGGCGGCAATAATATCGTTAGCGCCGTGTGCCGCCAGAAACACCGAAAAAACCGCAACAAACCCTCAGAGATGATCGGTGATAACACTTATAATCTTTAAATTACGTATGTTGGGAAAAATAATTATATTTTTTATAATTTCTCCTCAGAGAACTTCAAACTTCTTTTCTGGCTAACCTAGCTAGCTTTTTTTCGGCCTCCTCAACAATCCCGCCCACCGGCAAACCCGCGAAAAGCAAGTTCGGTAGCGCGCGCGCAATTGCGCTCAGCGCTCTGTCTCTAATTCCCGCCCGTATTCGTGCAAAGCCCCGCCCCCGCTGTGCTAGGACTGGCTAGAAGCTCGTACGTCCCAAGCCCTTCCCGCCAGTCTAGAAGGCTTAATAGCCACAGGCAGTAGGGGGCGGGGCCAAGAGTGGCGAAACTGCTCGTCAGTATGAGCTTCGGGCCAATCCGAGTGCAGGGGGTGGGAAGCTACTAGCCAATCGTAGCTGCCAGAGGGCGGAACTTTCCCAAATACGCGTGGGAGAAGAAATCACGCTCATGCTTGCGTTGCAAAACTCGCTTTTGTTTTTGTTCCCACTTGATTCAGATCGAAAACGTAGGAAATACATATTATAATGTTTACAAAATATGCAAACAAAGTCATTCAGAGTGGTTTGATGTAAGATGGCTTGTTAAAGAGTAAAATACAGACTTTACAGTGGTGGTGATAGGAACCAGGGGTCCGTTGTTCTATGCAGTGTTGTGTATGGTTCTATATAGCACCAAAAAGGGTTTGCAATGTCAAGCTTGTAGCAGTAGCAGAACACTTTTTGATGTATATAGAACCATATACATCACATTCTCCATCAATCTGAAGAACAATTTCATGATACAAAGAACCACTTAAGCATGAAAGGCTTCTATATGGAACTTGTGGCTCTAAATCGAACCATTTCTTTACTAAAGAACCCTTGAACAACATTTAAATGTGCAGTTTAATAGAATCTAATTTGTTAGGCAAGTGGCCTGATTTTATAAAGTGACTAGTTGCTTAAAATCAAGTGAGTTTGTGTAATAAACTATAAACTATTGTGCAGTCTCACTTGCATGTGATTGTTGCAAATATTAAAGTTTAAAGCCACACACTGAGGCATTTATGTATCAAATAAATTTTATTTCCATTGTAGACTTTTAAATTAATAAATAGTTATATAGGGAGTTGATGGACAAAAGCATTGCTGCTGTCTGAAACTATGGAAGGGAATTCGTGCCGAATTGAAAAGCAGTCACTACAGTGGAAAAAGGTGAAATGCAATACACACATGACATCACTGTTCCACAGTGAGATGCAGAACACGAGCCAAAATGAAAAACAAAACCTCGATTAAACCTCTATTTCACTGCACTCGATCTCTTTACTGAAAAACAATACGTGAGGATCTGCATTAGAAGGTGAAATACTGATTTCATGTCAGAATTAAATACAATCTGCCTTTAAATGCAATGAAGGCATGACTATCCTGCTTTCCACTGTGCAGCACTTTAAACTGATTTTACTCATTGAAAAGCATCATAACAGTGAAACCAGTGAAATGCAATCTACACGTAACATTACTGTTCCACAGGTGACATGTAGAATACATGCTAAAATGAAAAGTAAAACCCCCACTGCACTGTTTTTCAGATCGTCAAATTTGTGTTTCTATATCTGTTTGTGTGTCTTTGTGATGATCCAGCTCAGAAATCCAGTTCAAACATTTCCTGAATCTGTAGAGTCGCCCTTTCCATTCCATCTTATCACGAGATCATACGAGACTCACATCCGGAGTTATGAGCCTATGAAGAGGGGCTGAGATACACGTCATCTGCCTCTCACCGTGTGGAGCTGGTGGATTTGTGTGTCCGTCTACGTTCTGTGTGAAACTCACTGATGGACACTCAGGAAGTCACTAAGGACTGACCATCACGCCGGAAACCCTTCATTCTTCATTCAGTCCACATTGGAGACTCATGTGAAACGGCCTGCAGAGAGTTTACAGCTGCTGAAGTTGCTGCAGCAGTTTTAGAAAGTAGTGATGAAGATAACGGAGCATTTTGATATGAAACATATGAGGATCATGTTATATGAAGAGACTTTAAAGGAGAGTTTAAGAAGAGATAAATCGAGAGAATGACCAGAGATGAACAAATCAGACTCCAGAAACTGTGCCAGAATGAAGTAAAAAATCCAAAATCTGATTTTCTACAGTTATCGGATCATTAGGTGCGTGTAAACACACTCGTTGTTCCTTCATTACATTTTAAAGTGGACTGTATTGACATTAATTCAGCGCTTCTTGTTTCAAATGCGAATCCGCATGTGTTGTTTTTCAGTAAAGAGGTCGAGTGGAGTGTAAACAGTGTAATAAAGGGTTTGTTTTTCATTTTGACTCATGTTCAGTATCTCACTGTGGAACAGTGATGTCATGTGTATTTGCATTTCACGTTTTTCCACTGTAGTGGCTGCTTTTCAATTTGGAACAAATTCCTCTCCGTAGGAAACATTGATCAGTCTGGAAAATGAAATGTTATTCTTCAGTGCAAATTCAAGTCATTTATGAAGCTACAGCAGACGACAAAGTAAACAACGTCACAGTGTTGAGTAGAGCCGCCTCTCATCCTTCCAGTAAAGGCAACATCCAGTCCAGCCACAGTAACCTACTCAATGTAGAATCAGCATTATGTGTAATTAGCGCTGTGGTCAGAAACAGTAGCCAGTCTTCAAACATCAACATGCCCTGTGACTCAATTCAAGCACTATGGCCTGTGTACTACACGCCAATGGTGTAGTACAAAAAAGACGGTTCTTACAGGGGTTCTTTAGTAAAGACATTGGGCCTCGTTTTCCAACCGTCCTTAAGAAGAAATTCCTTCTCACGGAGTTCTGACAAAGACTCTGACTCACCAATGTTCTCTTATGTGGGATTTGTTCTTAGGTAAGAACAGAATCTACACACACTCGACAGAACAAAGGAGAGAACAGTTCTGCGCTTTAAGAACACGTCATGAATCTGACGGAGACTTTCTCTTAGCATCTTTCTCAAGAACACACTTAAGAACAAACTTAGGAGGACGAGAACGAGACTCAATTAAGAACCATGAACACTCAGAGAACCATTTGCATGATTAAATGGTTCTTTACATGGTGAAATTGTTCTTCAGATCGATGGAGAATGTGTTATACATGGTTGTATATAGAACTTTTTTGAAAATGATTCTATGTAGCACCACAAAGGGTTTCCAATGTTACAATCTTGACATCATACAGAACCATATACAACACATTCTCCATCAATCTGAAGAACCATTTCACCATACAGAGAACCATTTAATCATGCAAAGTGTTCTTTGAGTGTTCATGGTTCTATACAAAACCACTGTCTTTGATAAAGAACCCTTGGAGAACCATCTTTTTTAAGAGTGTACTATACTTTGTGCACTTCACCAAATCTAAAGTCTTGATTTTTTTGTATGGAAATATTTTCGTTAATTTTGAACACTACCGGTTTGTACTACATGGAAATAACAAATTATCACACGAATTCACACTTCACTGAACTGTTTACATTAGCAGTTAGCTTCAACCTGACCTGACCGGTTAGCCTCCTAACATTTTGAAATCTTTACCTACGTACTGAAAATAGCCTAATGCAAGAAAGTCACACAGAAATAGTTACAGGACAAAGACATTTCAAATTTTTGAAAAATTGCAAACTTGACCATCTTCTTCCCTTCATTTATTCACTTTCCAGTCAAAATGGCTATTAAGTTATTCAGAAACTTGTGAACCGAATCATTTTACACAGAAATTACAGAGACCCCTCAACAACTTACTGTCAGACAAGCCCAGAATCGGTCCCGAGTGTGGACTCAAGTATTCGGGACAAGTGTGAAAACGCTGTTAGTCATTTTTATTTTCATGAACTTGAACTTGATGGGTATTTTCAAACTTTTCCTGAATACTTGAGTTTGCACCCAGGACTGATTGTGGAGCAGAGAGCTTCCACACACACAGCAGACCCACCAGAGTTCCCCCAGACCACCGTTTTCAGAAGGACCAGAGATCGAATCTCTGTTCTGCTCTCGGGCTTGACAAACAGCCTTTAAACACAACCAAATGTACCGAACTGGCAGAGCAAGCAGACCTGGGTCCGGAAAAAGAACTACTGTGAAAACGGCACTTGATTCTCAGGATCTGAGTAATCCTGTTTACATATTTAGACCCAGTCAATAAAATCTTACGCCACACCTTGGATGTCCAGTTTCTTAATTCAGATGTTTTCACTTTTCTCAGTTAGGCTTCTTAACAGCTACACATCCTTTCAGACCCACAGCGCTGAGTCGTCTTCTCACAGTGGAAGGATGGACAGAAACACCTGTGGATGTTTTCGGATCTGAAGCAGCTTGATTTTCTCCTCTCTCTCAGAGATGAAAGCTTTAAGTGCTGTTTATCTGATGGGGGCAGTTTTGGGGTCCACCAGGTCTTCCAGGTGGTTGTTAGGAGCCACATTTAAACTTCTGTTTTCACTTTGACTTTCTCCTTCTTATGCCTGTGGAATATCTCATATCTAATCTCAAAAAATATCTCTTGAAACATCAATTAACTTAATTGCCGTTTTGACTGGAAATTACATAAATGAATGGTGGTCTCTGACTTTTGCACAGTACTGCAAAACGCACTACATCCTTCTGCACTGCCAGACGTGAACATGCCACTCGCTCTAAAAACTGAATGCACTTGATTTGAGACACAGGAATAGACCATGATAAACATATTTAAAAGTCTCCCAGTGCAAAACTCCACTGTAGCTTTATAACCGCATGATGACACCACACTGAACAATCACTGCTAGTGTAGAAGAATGATCTCACGGCTTTGAAGCTCCAGTCTGGTCCTGGAGTCGTTTGCAGTAGTGTTTTTTAAAGACGATGTATGAGATTAGCATGATGAGGCCTGTTGAGATGTTTTCTGAGTGCAGCTTCCATTCCAGAGCAGTTCAAAACATGGCTTCTTGGCCCATGAGTTGGTACCATTTCATAAGTACACTGCTGCTACGGCATCTTCCAGCACCACAGATCTTCCTTTCTCCAAACCCTTTTGCATGCTCATTGGTGCACAGACTCCATTCTGAGTCCCCAAAGGCATTTGAATTATCATGTTGTGTATATGAGGAGGCAAAAGTGCAGTTTGTGAAATGAAACAACCACATCCAGTCCTGGTGCTCT